GTGCGCCCCAATGGGGGGCACACCCCTCACGCGCCTCGTGGCCTCAGACGGACTTCTACCGAAATGCCGACGGGGGCAGGAGCCGCCCAGCGTCGCTCCGTCCATCGTCTGGCAGACCGCTCGTACGCTCCGTGGCCCCCAGAGGCAGCCAGTTTGTGGGACACACCTCTCACGCGTTTCGTGGCCCCGAGGGAGCTCTGCCGAAGGCCCCACCCTCAGATCCTGGCGTCCGAATTTTTTCGAGCCGGGAGTTTCCATCAGGTTTCGGGCCTTGGGGCCTTATTTGATCGATCCGGCTCTAAAAATGACGCAGAAAGAACAAAGAAGGGGTCTAGGGCTGTGGTCTATCGCCAGAACATATATCCACCGCGTCGGAGTCGTGCCCTGAGATCTCCACGAGTCCTCGGAACACGACCCATCGGCAGGAGATGTGGTCATTTCCTGGCGGCGCAGCTGGTCTTGACTGTCATCGATGCCCAATTTTTTCGCGCCCCCAGATCTCGGGGCCGTGGCAGGGCCCGCATGGCGCCGGCCCGCCCATCTCGGCACACCCCTCACACGTTCCGTGGTACAGTCGGCCCTGATTAGTAGGTCGACCCTGCCAAATCAAGGGTACCCTTGTGTCCTGTGTCTCGCGACCCGTGCCTTCCTGCATTCCTGTGGCAATGTGGCCCTCGGAAGGGTCTTCTGTCCTCTCGCGTGTCCTGTCCAGTGAAGTCCGACTGTAGGTCGCTCCAGCGAAGGCCTCAGTGTCTGCTGTCGCATGCCTCCGTCCTGCCCGGTTCGGGACACCGCTCACGCGTTCCGTGGCCCCGCAGGGAGCTGCACCGAGGTGCCCCGTGGCTGCAGAGTCGCATGTGGTTCCGCCTCCCATGGGAGGAGGAGGAGGAGGAGGAGGAGGAGGAGGAGGAGGAGGAGGAGGAGGAGGAGGAGGAGGAGGAGGAGGAGGAGGTGGAGGAGGAGGAGGAGGAGGAGGAGGAGGAGGAGAGGAGGAGAAAGAGGACAGAGGAGGAGGAGGAGGAGGAGGAGGAGGAAGAAAAGGGGGAAGAGGAAGGCCGTCAAATGTGGCACGTTTCGTCTCCACTAGTTTAGGAACCCTCATGGAACTTGTTGGGGCCGTCTTGTGACTGGTTTGGCCTCTTGTGAGGCAGTCTGTCGGAAGCTCGAAAAGGCGAGAACCCGAAAACATTAAGAGCACACAGCAATCAATGGTTTTTGCCTCTCGGGGCTCTCTTGAGGAGCTCTTTTGGCCCTCTTGGGACCTTCTTTGGGCATCTTGGGGCGGCAGGCTTGAATTGTCGGTTTGTGTTTCCTCTCTTGGGCCCTTATTGGGGCCGTCTTGGGGCCTTCTTGGGCAGACTTGGGCACCATTTTGGAGCCCTCTTGGGCCGTCTTGGCGCCCTCTTGGGGACGTCTTCGGCGGTCTGGGGGTTCTCTTCGGGGCCTCTTGGGCCGTCTTGGGACGTCGGAAGCTCGAATAGACGAAAACCCCTAAACACATTGAAACACTTGAAGAAATCATAGAGATTTTCCTCTCGAGGCTCTTTTGGGGAGGCTCTTAGGGCTCTCTTGGACGTCTCGAAGGCATCTTGGGCTGTCTTGAGGCCATCTTGGGCCGTCTGGAGGCCGAAGTGGGCCGTCTTGGAGCCATGTTGGGCCGTCTTGGAGTCATCTTGGCTTCGGGATCGCGAATCGGTCGTATGTTTCGAGGCACTGGCCTTGAAAAGAGGGGACGATGCATATGTGGCAGTGGCGAGAGGGGGGGGTCCCTAGAAGACTGCGCAACCCTGCCAGACAGTACTTGGCATTCTAGCACGCCTCAACGTGCCATGGGGACACGATGGCGGATTACGGAGCAGGAGTATGCAACGAGCCTGGGTCCTGGGCAGCCAGAAGCGCCACCGCCAACTTCAGGTCTCGACACCCCGGGGCAAGAAGGCACGACGGAGGTCGAAGCGTCCAAATCAAGTGCCTCAATGTCGTTTCGGGCTGGCTCTGGGGGGGCAACGGGAGCGGCATCCAGGCTCGGGATTGTATGGAGGAGAGCCCGGACGAAATCTTTTCCTACACTGGGGGTGGAGTTGGCCCCATTCGTTGGGTGGCACTTCCCGAGAAGTGCCTCAACGTGCAGATGGGTGCGGACCACTGGGGCGCACGGATCCAGATCTGGGATAGTTCGGATAGCGACCTTGCATTCCAGTTTGCGGTTCCGGAGGAGCGCCCATTCGTTGGGCTGGCGGCGGTTTCGACAAGTGTCTCAATGTTGACGGCACTGGAAAGCTCCAGCTTCATGGGTGCTGGGAGGACATGGCCTTCATTCTTGAAATGAAGTCGCAATGCAACGTGGTGAGGCCCACCGAGCCGTCGTCTGGATCCCTCGGCCCAGTCATTCCAGTCGGCCACAGCCACGCGCCCAAGCCGACTGGGCCTTCGCCGAACGCGTGAAAACCAACGCCAGCACATGCTGAAGTCCATGTGACGTTGGGCCTGACCACTGTGT